GCTCAGGGCAGTCACAACTCTGGAAACATCTCTTTTTTTCCTTCATTCTGAATTTCAAAAACAATCTGTATTCTGGGGAATGTTGTATGCAAGCAAATATGGTATGTTAGAGTCTAGCTACTGTGTGACCCCTTGTGGCATGCTAAATTGCTTCCTTTGATATGTATAGGCACAGGGAGGGAACACCAGAGAGAAGCCTCTTCTACATGTGGGTAAACCCTCTCTCCAACTCGCCCCACACATCATTGTGTGTATGCCCCTAGGCCCCGCCCCCAGCTCCTTAGGAAGGGGAGCTTGAAGATTCAGGTTGCTACTGCATACTGCAGCCTGTATGGGAATGATGGGAGAAACATTTCTGCCACAGTTAAAGTTATAGTTTTAAAATAGGATAGTGTTTTCAGGGGTTTAGGTTGTAGCCGTGTTGGTCTAAGGATATAGGCAGACAAGGTTCCTTGGGTGAATTTGATATCTTTTATTAGACCAACCCAAATGGTTGGAGAATAGTTATTAAGCAAGCTTTCGGGTTCAAAAACCCTTCGTCAGGCTCAGGAAGCTGCAGCAGTTGGTGTTTTCATGCGCTTTAAATTGGGGGATAACATTTTTCTGTCTCTTAATCTCTACAAGAAAATGTAGAGTAATAAATTTGAATGAAAGGAGTAAAATATCTTTACCCCTTTTGGTTCCACAGGAAGATGTCTTGTATTTATTATTTTGCTGTCTACGATAGCTTCAATGATGTAGGATGTACCATGAGGATCTCCGAGTGACAGAGATTAAAAATGAAGTAATAAAAAATCCTATCTAATTCTGTTTTATGTGTTTGAGTGTACATAGCTCACTTTCTAGGAGAATTAACACACATTTTGGGGCTTAACAAAGTTCACGTTTATGTCTTTCTTTCATCTTTTTCAAAGCAAGTAATTTTGCAAAGATACAGTCATCAAAGTGCCAGCAGAAGCGCTGATTGTATGCAAACATAGCTGTTCAGAAATTTTTCCAAGTGAATAATGGCAACAACAGAGGTGACAAGTCTTTCCTTCCCTTCCACTCCATTTATAAAAGTTGTGCCATGGGTTGCCAACCCCTGTTCTACATCTGCCAGAGCATGGCACATGAAGCCATTTTGCTCAGCATGCCACATCTGCGCCAGGCTCTGGCAGCCGTGGTTGCATGTGCTTCAAGGTGGATGTCTGGGAAGGGGCCAGGGGCAGCATAACCACAGAGCTGGTGCCAGGGCTCCGGACCCTGGTGCAGCTGTTTTCAGCCTGCCTGCCACCTGCTGCAGCTCCCCAGAGCCTGGGTTGATTGTGGCAAGCATCTGGGAGACTGCAAACAGCTACACCAGATTCTGGCAGCAGTGGCTGCACGCACACCTCGGTGGACAGCAGGGATGGGGCCAGGGTTGCACTGCACCAGGTCCCTTCCTGCCTGTGGACCCCGAGGCATCTGTCACTGCCACAGAGCCTAGCTGGAGCCCTGGAGCCTGGTGCAGTTGTTTGCAGCCTCCTGGCTGCCTGCCACAGCCAGCCTGGGCTCTGGGCAGCTGCAACAGGCAGTGGGTGGGCTGCAAACAGCTGCCCTGGGGTCTGGAGCCCCAGCACTGGCTCTAGCTGTGGCAGGTGCATTTGGGCCTTGGCAAGCCACACAAGGGAAGGAGCTGGGGCAGTGCAACCCCAGCCCAGCTCCTGAGGCACACATGCACCTGCCGTTGGCAGCAAGGATCGAGCCTCTGGCATGTGGGTTGAAGTTGAGGTGTTTTTGGCACTCTGCCCAAAGACACTGCCAACCCTGTTGTAGAATGTGATCTAATTGGGGACATTTAAATGTTCACGTAACATTTTATTAATGAAAGAACTTATTCTTCTCTGACCTGGCCAACATGTAAGAGCTAATATTGCTACTTTTTTTTTTTTTTTAGATTCTTTAATGAAAAATATTTAACTCCACCAACATCATTATTTGAATTTATAGTAGTGCCAAGAGCTGTGCTTTGAATCAGTAACCCAGTGGAGTTTGTGCTACATGGAAGCCTGGTTCCAACTTTATGCTGGTTTCCAACTTCAGTATCTTCGTTGCTTACACAAAATGGGAAGTTGTTCCTCAATCAGGTTTTCTAGGTTAGCAAAATTTCATTCTGCGCTCAGTACAGTATTTTGTTCTGTAAGTCTTGCATCAAATAATCGGATTGTTTCAGTGTATTCATTCAGTTGTGTAAAACCCATTTACTGGGTTTACTCAAATATAAGACAAAGTTTCTCCCCCCTGCCTTCCCCCATCAGTTGGGTAAGAAAGCTCCTTGTCTTATATTTGCATACAAGGAAACTTTACTAAATACATTGTCCATCATTAAACTGCTGCCAAAAGCAGCATGTGCTCAGTAATGGAAACCAACTGTCAAGTTGATTAAATGCAGCCAACACTGAGCATAACTAGAAAACACGTGGCCCGTCTTAGGCAAACATACTTTTTTATTATTTTTTATATATATATATAATATAAAAAAAATATTTAGTGTTCCAGGTCAAATCAGCTCCAAATCATATTGATTTGAGTAGAACTTAGTTGTTCCAAAAGCCACATTGATTGAGAAGGTGGAACTCAATTATTCAAATGCCATATATAGTGCTACAACCCTCGAATATCCTCTGTCTCGGGCTTTCACCCTGGGATTTTAGGTACTCCCAAATCCATTGGCAGGCATCCTACGTGCAGGCCGAAACCGAGAGATCTTGGGGATTCCAATGCTCCCACTTGACTTTAGCCAAAAGACTCATGGGAAATTACCACAAACATAGCTTAGCACAGCTGAACCAAGTAAAATATATGGTAATACCCATTGTGCTGAGTCTCCTTTGGCACTGACTCATTTCCAAGTTATGGTGAGCCACTTCCCTGAATACATTGTTACTTTCTTTTCATTCCCATAGCCTTTCTTTCCCATTTCCAATGGTTCCTGTTTCTTCACCAGCCTGGGCCCCAAACAGTTTCCCCAGAATCCTTTTGCTGCCCCATTGCTCAGCCTGTTGCATATGATTAGTGTGACCTCACCCTCCATTAGGTAGAGCCAGACTAGGTTGCCCTGCGCCTTATCTGCATATCAATTTTTGGAAGATCCCAGGACTCATGACAAGAATACCCGGTTCCAGCCATGAGTGGGGGGCTAATTAGTGCATGGGGTGGGGGGGTTATCCTTTGGGCGGGGAGGGCAGGGGTATCTCAAGTACACATGCAGTGCTGGGCTTTGGGGTCACCACGTCTTGAAACACTGACTGCTGGGGCCCTGCCCAGTTAACTGTATGGTAGCCTTTTGGCTTTGGTCTTGTCATGCATAGTTTGTACTCTATGTAAGCAGGTACCAAAGTGCTGCTTAAAAGTGTGTTTATGGAGTACCTGTGCTAAAACTTGGAGCCGTTTCAAAAAAGATGAAATGCATCAGTTCTGGATGAACTAAGTCTGTGGGTACCTGTAGTAATTTGCCTATATGCAAATTACTACATGCATGTTTGTTAAAGTCAGTGTTTTCAAATTTTCCCCTTCCTTCCTTCCATGTGTTCAGGGAGAGCAGGCAGTAAGGTGGGGGTGAAGGGGCTGCAGGGGGAAGAAGTTGGGTGCAGACAG